TAAGGTAGGTATAGAATAAACAACAGTTCAAAGTTAAAACATCTCAATAATGATACATTAAAAACAATCCAAAAAACAAATATTACTTTAAATATAACATTAATAAATATAAGAAGGCAAAAAAATATAAAAAAAAAAGATTGCAAACTTATTAAAAAGACTTTCTTAAAAAACATCATGAAACTTTCTATAAAAGTTCTATTAAGTAATATTTTATCTTGGTTTATTGTATAAAAAGCTTTGTGTCAAAAAAATGCATGAAGTGATATTAGCATAATTTTTTATTTTTTTATTTGCTATTTAGGTGCTTCAAGAAGTCGTATAAACTACCTAATATACCTAATGGTATATTCCATTTAATAGAATTTAACCAGTTATAAAGTGCCATATTAAATAGATGATGGTTAAATACAGATTAAAGTTTACAATATAAGATAAACTGATGATCTCTAGATGGAAATATTTAAATGGTGAATAACATTTAGATACAAAATGGTCCTTTGATAGAGATCTTCTTTATATGTGTTATTCTTTCAAAGAGATTGTATTTTCTTTATAGTAGATACAATGTTACTCGAAGATGTCGAATCCAAGTACTTACATAGGTTGACTTTATCAGATGTATGTCAAATCCAAGTACTTACATAGGTTGACTTTATTAGTATGTCGAATCCAAGTACTTACATAAGTTGGTTTTATCAGATGTATGTCGAATCCAAGTACTTATGTTGACTTTATTAGATGCATGTTGAATCCAAGTACTTACGTTGACTTTATTAGATGTATGTGGATTACTTACATAGGTTGACTTTATCAGATGTATGTCGAATCCAAGTACTTACATGGGTTGACTTTATCAGATGTATGTCTGATCCAAGTACTTACGTTGATTTTATCAGATGTATGTCGAATCCAAGTACTTACATTGACTTTATCAGATGTATGTCAAATCCAAGTACTTACATTGACTTTATTCGATGGAATTATAAAGACGTTTAATACTTTATATTTACAAAAATTCTCGACTGACTGAATTCTGCCTAAATTTGAATCGAGTATAACTTTATCTGATTGCTAGAGGGTAGTTAGTTAATTCCATTACTTGCTCAAGCAACTTTTAATTGTTAGAAATGCGAAAGTGTGAGGCCTTGGGCTAAATTACCAAAAGTACTGACCATTGAGTCAGTCTTGGTTATTAATTATTTCATGGTATAAATCACAAATAAATATTAAAATCAGCATTAAGTTCATTATTATTGTAAAAATAGAATATCAAAATCAGACTATTATTGTATAAAAAAATATTAAAATCAGAGTTAAGTTCACAAGTATTGCACAAAAATTATTATTATAGATATTTTACATTGCTTGAATATTTTTTTGTATACTAAAATAATTTTTCTTTTAATATAGAAGCCAGATTGAAACGTGCTGAGTCAGTATTTGAACAAGAGAGGCAAAACTCTGTTGAAGGTAAGGCTAAGTTGCATTATTTTATTCTAGTTAATAAAAAATATTTTTTTTATATACAAATCAAATCTTTTATAATAAAAAGATTTGATTGTAGAAAGTTTGCTACAAAAATTGCATGGTCAATTGTTGATCTCATAACCTCTTGCACATATTTAGATTTTTCCAAACATCTCTAAAAAACTCTGGAAAAAAGGTTTTTTTAAGCTATTTAACAAGTAATAACACTTTTATGTTTTCCTGAACCAGGTTTCCCATATATTCTTTGCATTATTTAATCAGATTTATTTTCTTTATCTTTAGAATATTATTTGTAAATATTTTGGAATTGTATTACATTATGTATTAGAATATTGTATACATTATGTATTAGATTAAAACAGCTAAACATATTAGAATTTGTTATTAGAATTTATTTTATATATATTAGAATTTATTAACATCCTGAATGAAGTTTTATTTACTTTTAAATGATTTATTGTCATTTTTTAATAACTATTAAAGATATGAATAATCCTCAATGGAAAAAACATAAGAAGCACATCTTTATACTAAGTGAAGCTGGAAAACCAATCTATACAAGGTAGAAAATTTTCGATTTGTTTTATACCTATGTATATATGTATGTATGTATGTATGTATGTATGTATGTATGTATGTATGTATGTATGTATGTATGTATGTATGTATGTATGTATGTATGTATGTATGTATGTATGTATGTATGTATCTGTGTCTAAATATAAAGTTAGTAATTGTTATAAAGATTTTATAACAATTACTAACTTTATATTTAGACACAGATAGTAGAATGTATGTAGAATCTTTAATAAATTATTTAATAAAAAGATTATAATAGCCTTTGAAGTTTAAATTGAATTAAAGTTTTATTTCAAATATCAAGATAATAAAAATGGAATTTCTTTGTTTTTCATTTTTTTAGATATGGCAATGAAGAAGAATTAGTGACAATGATGGGGTTAATGCAAGCTATAGTTTCTTTTGTTCAAGATTCTAACGATAATCTAAGGTAATTATAACAGATTTTGTTTTAATATTTAATTTTATTTTTTCATCCACGGTTTTTATGTTTTTTATTTTAAAAAGTGCTAATGATTTTTTTTTTACTTTCTAGAGCTTCTAATTTTTCAAAAAAATTACTACAAAATAATTTCTTTGTTTTATTCAAAAAAGTTACTACAAAATAATTTCTTTGTTTTATTCAAAAAAGTTACTACAAAATAATTTCTTTGTTTTATTCAAAAAAGTTACTAAAAAATAATTTCTTTGTTTTATTCAAAAAAGTTTCTACAAAATAATTTCTTTGTTTTATTCAAAAAAATTCTCTTGTTTCAAAATAATTTCTTTGTTTTGTTTTCACAACAATTTGTTGTTATTTTGAAACTTATTATTTTGAAACTTTTGAAATTCTCTTGTTTCAAAATAACAGCAAGTTCTGTTTTTTCAAAATAACAACAAGTTCTTTCGTTTTAAAATAACAACAAATTCTTTTGTTTATAAAAGAACTTTTTTGTGGTATTATAACAGTGAATTTGTAATATTCTTTTTAACAGTTAATTAACTGTTTGTGAAAAGGCAGATACAAGATTTTAAGTTTAAACTACATGGAAGGCACCAATAAAATTTATTTTGAGTGAGTTTTTTTAGTTTTTAGTCAAAATAAATGTCAATATAAAAATAATATTTTTTGTGTAAAAAAAAGAAGCTTTTGATTTGTGAACAATTGTCATATGAATTCAAAAGTCTTATGAGTGTGAATGATTTTAAAAATGTGACTTTTTTTCTTAAATATTTTTTTGTTGTTAAAGTTTAATAATAATTATTTATAATTCATTTTTATATAGTTTCTAATATATTTATGAAATTTTCTATAGCTCCTAATAATTCACATAGTTTCTGGTACTCCCTATAGTTCCTGATATTTCTTCGTGTTTAGTTTAGTTCTTGGTATTTTGTTTAGTTCTTGGTGTTTCGTTTAGTTTTTGGCACTTTGTTTAGTTCTAAGTGTTTTTTTAGTTCTTGTTGTTTTGTTTAGTTCTTGGCGCTTTGTTAAGTTCTAAGTGTTTTTTTAGTTCTTGGTGTTTTGTTTAGTTCTTGATGTTTTGTTTAGTTCTTGGTGTTTTATTTAGTTTTTGGCACTTGTATAGTGCATTTAATTAAGTTTCTGGTGTTTTATACAGTTTCTGATACTTTTCAATTTTTATGATGTTTTACACAGCTCCTAATCAATTATGTTGGTTCCCAGAGTTTCATATAATTCCAAATTTTTAAAATTGTTTCTGGTGTTTTTTGTAGTTCATGGTATTTTGTATACCTTTTGTATACATTCATCCTGAATGTATACATTCATTATTTTGTATACATTCATCCTCCTAATGTTTTTTAGAAAGCTAGAGATAAAGAAGAAAGTTTTCACTTTTGCACCACTACTTTCAGTTTTGCACCACTTCTTTTAGTTTTGTTCCACTTTTTTCAGTTTTGCATTTCTTCTTTCTACAACAAGACTGATATAATGTAAACTTGTTTTACGTTGTTTGTTGCCTAGAATGATGAATATTAGATATTCTTGACTCATTATTTCTTGTGTCTTTTTGTAAATGGCTTTGACACTCTTTCTGTTATCTCTAAAGATATAATCAAAAACTAAAATGATAGTACTAAGAGTATGGTAGTACAATTAAAATGATAGTACTTATTCAATCAGCAGCTTTAAATATCAGAGTTTTAATAGTTTCAATTTGCGCATTGCTGTGTCCCTGTTAGTACTTTTGGTGTATACTGTTTATGCTACATTAGAAGCCACCTGTTATGACATTTGGTTTATTGATAAATTAGGTTTATTAATAAATTATTGAACAAAGATAAGGTAATAGTATAGTTTGTTTTTAGAATGCAAATAATAATCCATGTCAAATTCACTTTTATGTTTTAAATAAATAATGAATTTAAGTAAACTAAAATGTGATTGCAATTATCTGTTTGTTTAAACCTATTCTTGAATATTCAAATAACTTTTCATCCATGATATCTAATCTTTTACCAGAAAAAAAAACTTACCAGACTTATAGTAAGTGATGGGTTGATATTTGACCAGGGCTGGGGCCGGGTTTGATAAAATATAGCCAGGGCCGGGTTTATGACCGAGCTGCATAAAAATTTATACATCCTAAAGTATATATTTTTTAATTTAAAAATTATGTTATATTTTGTATATATATACATATATCAACATCATTATGATCAACATGATCATCATAATCATCATTACTATCATGATGATGATGATGATTATTATCATCATTATTATGATCATCATCATCAACAGCATAAAAGAGGAAGGCTAAAGCCTGATGATGATGATTATAATGATGATAATCATCATCATGATAATGATAAATAATCATCATTATGATAATGATGATCATCATTGTCATCATCATCATCATCATCATCATCATCAACATCATCATCATCATCATCATCATCATCATCATCATCATCAGGCTTTAGCCTTCCTCTTTTATGCTGTTTCTCTGATATAAATTTTTTTTACTTAACTAAAGCTCATTCATTCAATGTAAGGCACTCTCTAAACTTTTTCTTACTTCTACCAATACCGTTTTCTACTATAGCTGCTACCTCTCTACATGCTGATACCTAAATTACTTTAATCTTTTTTAACAAATGTTGTTTGAAACAAGGTTTTTTTAATCTGTCTAAGAATATGCCTCCTTTTCTTGTCTTGCTAGAGTCGCATCCATCTGATCATTTTCTCCTTCGGCAAGTACTACACCATATAAATACTTAAGTTTATATAACAATGAAAGGATATGCTAGCATCTAAATAAATAGCAAACATAAATGTTTATGCATAATATATATACATAAAGTGCATCTTAGAAACTTTTATTCCTTCTGGAATAAAAGTTTTGAAGCTTTTATTGCTTCTTTTCAATTTTAAGTCAAGCCTCATTCTACTCCACATTTTTCACCGTCTTGGGCAATTGCTTTACTAATTATTAATCATCTTTTTAATCTTTTTTAAAAGAATATCTCTCTTAAGAACAAATGCCCTTTTATTATTGCAAGAAGCCAATGTAAAAAAGATCTGTCTGATGTTAAGCTCTCTTATTCTCAGTTTAATAAACCTTGTATCTTATCTCAGATGTTAGGTTCTAGAGAGTTTTGGTTAGTCTTCAACAGTGTCATTAACTAAAGTGTCTAACATTTAATCTCTAATTCATGGGTCTGACCTTTTTACTCCTCCCCAGAATAAAGCAGACTTATTTGCAAAAAAATCTTACTTTAATTTGATTTGTGAAAAAATGTGAGAATAGATTTCCATCATAGACTTAAAAATTGTTCTTCAGAACTCTCTTCAATTTTTGCTAAACTTTTAAAAAGTCCTCAATAAGTGGTTCCAATTTTTCAAAACTATAGAAAACACTTTGACCTCTCCATCTTTCCTGCAATTAGTTTTCACTCTGTTATTAGTTTTATTATGTAAAGTTTTTGAGGTTATGAAACTATTTCTTTCTAACTGCATTACTAAATTTATTCTTGAAGGCCTACCTGCTTCTTTATTTAATGTAACTTTAAGAGTAACACAAGGTTCTATCTTTGCTCCTGTATTGTTTCTTACCTACAACAACAATCTTCATGAAATCTAAAGTGGCTCTATTTGCTGAAGACTCAACTTTATACTCTAGTCTTGACAAAACATTTTTACTTTTTAGTTGCTTAGAACAAGCAGTCGATTTTAAATCTAATCTCTCTTCTGTGACAGCCCATTGGCTGTTACAAAAGAGAGCCAATAGCTTGCAGTGGCTTATGGATTGAAATTCCGGACTTAAAATCCACAATTTTTGTTAGACAACAAAACTCATGTATTTACTGCAAAAAAATATTTCATTGTTGGCTTCCTATATTGATGAATAACAACCCTCTTACTCTCAGACAAGTCTAAAAGCACATTGTAAATATAATAAGACCTGCTTTATCTGCCAAGCTTGAGTCACTCTAATTTTTGTAAGATTGCATCTCTTTTTTCAATAAATACAATCATGGTCAATGGTCAAACAAGCTATTATTTCTATAACAATAAACCAAAACTCATTCTTGATTGGCTTTTTTTTTAACAAATTGTATCCTTTAACATGTTGTAAAAACTTTTATTAATCCAATTTTTTTCCTTGAACATAAAAAAAACCTTATAACTCTTACTCATCTTCATGTTTTTCTTTTTTACAACTTACAACTTTTTAAGTCTTCAGTTATGCATTTCCTAGAATTTTAACTTGTTGTCAATTTAAAGTAACTCATAACTTAATAATGGTTGCTTGCAATTTTGTTGGAAGTAAATTTGAGTTTAAAAGTATATAAATGTATACCAGTATTTAATAGTAAATGTAAGCATAAAGTATATAAAGTATTAGAAATTATATAAAATAAAATATATAAAGTATTATAATTTTTTTTCTAAAATATATCATACTATCAACCCTGGCTATCAACCCCTGCTGAATCTCATAATTTTGCCAGGGCCGGGTTTGCAAAAAGTCTCATTTTTAGCTGGGCCCCGCTTTATTACTACAGACCTACTGGTTCTCTGTGAGACATTTAAGTTTGGCTATGTAACAAGACTTCAATAGTCACATGCTTTGCCTGGGATATTCTTATGGATCAGTTCACCTGTTTATTATAAAAATTTGATTTGATTTTTGAATAACTCTTTATGTGCTTTACTTAGCATCACTTTCTTTTATCTTTATCCATCTACCAATAGTGTTGTTTTTGATGAGTAAAATGTATATTATAATCTATTTAAATGTTTTAGGCACTAAGGCCTAAAACATTTCTCAAATTTTTCAAATATTTCAGATCTATTTTTAGGCAATCAAAACCAATTACTTAAATAATTTGTGTTTTTTGATTTGAGAATTAGGGTACCGATTCACAAATTTTTCATAATTCTTGCATAATATACAGAAACCGTAAACTCATTTATTT